CAAAAGTTTGGATTAAAAAATATTTTTGAGTTTGCTTTATACTATGAGGTACGTGTCACTTTATAATGTTGTATCATGACAATTGTAGATGTCACATTCCACTGGGGGCAGCAGGTGGACCTCTAAAGATCTTAGGCTTATCCTAAATAGGTTAGTCAAATGGATGAGTTGAGTCGGATTTTGATTGAATCGAAAATGGTCTTATCCAAATTGACTTATATAACTCACATTGATCAATTTTTATGTAATACAATTTTAGCGACGCGCCTAAACCGGACCCAATCCATAATAGTAAAACACATCCATATTTAACCAGCCTATGAAAACCCCACCCATTTAATCAACTTTAAATCCTTCATGTGAAAATATTACCTGGATGAAGGTTTATATTAAATAAAAAAAGGAAAATAACAAAATAAAATGATGTTACGAAATAAAATAAAAATGTAGAAAAACCAAAAAGTTGAAAGATTTATAAAGAACTTAAAAAAGTATGCACGTGTTGTGTGACACCTACTCCGATTGCATACTTTATTGATTGAACTCAATTTATCTTATCCCCATCTTTTCTACTCTATCTAAATAAGAGAAAACGCTGTTCATCTTCCTTTTCCTCATTCAAATGTGAAAATCTTACAAACGCGGTAATGAGGAACGAAAGCTCCAATGATCTTTGAGATTTTTTATAATTTTTTTGATAAACAACTTATCGTAAAAATCTCTATTTCCATTTTTCTTTTTAATTTATTTTTCAAAAATGATTACACAGGTCACGACGACCGGATAATTTCGTAAAAAAAGTTAATGTGATTTGTTCCGGAACCACCCCACTTAAATATTTTAGTGCGAAGCCACACTCTCGACATCCATATTTGAGGTTTAATATATAATACGTGTCGAGTAACATGCCATGACATTTTTATTATTTTTGACCCATCACCATTCCAACAATTCAAATTTTTAGAAAATCGACTTTATTTAACAAAGTAGCAAAGCATAGATCTAGAGCTCGAATTCTAACATTGCCTATCATCTTTCCCCTTCCTATTATTTCGGTTTTTTTTTTAAACTAGGGGCAAGATCGTGCAGAGGAACTAGCATAAAAACCCAACGCTATAATCTCCCACTTAAATATGGATTCCCCATTACAGGAATTAAGCCTACGACCATCGATTTCAGAGCCGAAAGCACGGGAAGGCCCGTACCACTTGGTCAATTCCAGGGTTGGTCTTCTTCATGTTATTCAAGTTGTGTCTTTCTTTATTTAATCTCTTATTGTTCGTTTGACACCAATGCTAGAAAACATAATTTGATCATGAGAAAGAAAAAGAAAACCATGCGAAACTTCAAACAAGCAGGCGATAACTCGGCCTCAGGATCAAGTGCTTCGCTCTGGGCATTGACAACCCAAAGTCCTCGCTCATGTCCAGCTCGCTCGGCGATGTCCCCTCCGGCAACTCCCAGTTGAAACAATGCACTAACTGGGCCAAAACAAGGCGAACATTAACGTGGCCCAAGTTCATCCCTGGGCAGCCTCTCCGACCCGACCCGAATGGTATGAGCTGAAAGTCTCGCCCTTTGACGTCCACGCCGCTGTTTGTGAACCTCTCCGGGAAGAACTCCTCTGCATTCTCAGCCCAAGTGTTGGTGTCTCTCCCAAGGGCCCACGCGTTCACGATGACCCGAGTCCTCTTCGCGATGTAATACCCGGCGATCTCGACGTCCTCCGTGGACTCGTGCGGGACCAGGAGCGGGCCCGGCGGATATAGCCTGAAGCTCTCTTTCACCACCATGTCCAAATAATTAAGCTCTGGCAGATCCGACTCCTCGACGGTCCGGCTCAACCCGACAGTGGCTTCTAGCACTTGTTGGAGGTGCTTCATCACGCGCGGGTTGCGGATCAGCTCAGACAAGGCCCACTCGATCGTGGTGGACGAGGTCTCGTACGACCCGGCGATCATGTCGAGGGCTATGGCCTTGATGTTGGTCCGACCCATTATGTAGCCATCTTGCGAGCTGTTTATGGGATGGCCCACTATGGACAACAACGTGTCTATAAAGTCGCCCTTGTATTTTCCAGTCGTGTCTTCCTCGTGTTCTCTGATGATGTCTTCCAACACTTTGTCCAGGGCCCGGTTAACTGCTTTTGCGCGCCGAGTCATTCCCTGCCAAGGCAAAACCATAATTGTTAAACATGCTTCTTCTTTGAATTTTTGAAAAGCAGCGTAATAGAAGTTGCCAATTCCCCAGCTAGCTAGATTCATGCTCTTTGTTTTTATGCCTCTCTAGATCTCTTCTTCCTGTTGCTCATAGAAAGTAGAAACTCCCGACCAATTGCAAACTTATAAGCACTGCGTACGTACGTGACAAAAGCAATGAGTTAAGCGTAATTCATATAATTCCAATTCACTGTTCTATACGCGGCAAGCAAAAATTTACCATACTATATAAATATTTCACAAGTCTTGAAGTTACCATAAGTAAAAAAATAATAATAATGAAAGAATAAGAGAAACCCATAATAATAGAAACGCAAAATACCTGAAGATCGAGAGCTCCAAGAAAAGGCACATAATCCGCCAAATTGTAAGCCCCGACCAAATTCAGAACCTCGTGAATCACAGGCTTCAAGTTGAACTTACCTTTTGTGCTGCATCCGAAGATCATTCTACACGCCATGTCCCCGATCAGCTGCCCCACCTCCTCGCTCACGTCCACCGCCTCACATGCCGCCACTGCCGCCCTCATCCTCTCGACCACCCTCCCGAGCTCCTCCCTCCTCATTAGCGTGAAAAACTCCACCTTCGCCGGGCTCAGCAGCTCCAGCACGCACAGCCTCCTTACGCCCTGCCAGTACGCACCGCTCTCCGCGAACACAATCGATCCCCTTGTTGCCGTACGACATGTGGTGCAGGGTATCCACCCTCGGGCGGCTCGAGAAGATGCTATCGTGGGTCCTGAGGACCAGCTCGGCTGCCTCCGGTGACGAGACCACCACTGTCGGCTTGTTGCCAAGGCGGAGGGACATGATGGGGCCGTAGGACTTGGCGAGGCTATGGAGGCGGCGGTGGGGGAGGTTGCCGAGCTGGTGGAGGTTCCCGATGACGGGCAGCGGCGGTGGACCCGGCGGCAGCTTGGGGGCATTCCGGCGGCGGAGGTGGTGGAAGAAGAAGTAGAGAGTGACTAGAAGAGTGGTCGAAAGAATGGCGAGTGAGGAAGTGTCCATTTGCAGGTTTGAAGGTTGCGTCTTGCTTTGGTGCAGAGGGTTTTTGTAGTGGTAGAGGATGAAGCGGAGATATACGGAGAGTGATGAACCAATCGCTTTTTGTTTAAGTAGGCGACGAGAGAGACTCCCTTTCCATTTAATGACAGGTGTGAGTTAGGGCTCATGTGGCTGAATGCGCCTAGGAAGCTTTAGGAGCTTGATTTGACATGGAAGATGGGTCAAAGATGACGGTTGGCTAGCGAAACGTGTTATCAACATTTATATAAATATAGTGCAAAGAATTAATTACGCAACCACGAATTCGGCAAATAGCTGGAAATAACTCGTTAACCACGAATTTTATTTTATTTTTAAAAAATCACTAAAATTTTAATTTATTCTCAAATTTATCCCGTGATTTAGTCTCAATTTGATATGATATTTTTACATTGATAATAAATTCACATCAATAAGATGAAAGGAAAATTATCTTCAAAAGGAAATCATTACCGGATATGAAAATTAGCGATGATTAATGACGAGTTTTGGACAAAGGGCTAATAGAGGAAGAATTTTAGGGAATTAGGCCAATGATTTCGAGAGAAGCTTTTGTAATGAGAAATGAACACCTGTCTATTCGCCTGCTGTCATGGGCTCGAGCGAAAGGCAAAGAGAGATGGAGATAGAGAGAAGAGGCGGGACTGTTCGAGTGGGGCCACAATCGCGAATTCAGTCACATAAAGTAGGAGAAAAAAGTAGGGGTGGTTCCGGGACAATTCACATCGACTTTTCTTTACGAAACTATCTGGTCGACATGTGTGCTAATTTTTTTGAAAATAACTGAAAAGAAATATGGAAATAGAGATATTTACGATAAGTTGTTTATAAAAAAAATAATAAAAAATCTCGAACATCGCTGGAGCTTTCGTTCCTCGTACCGTGTTTGTAAGATTTTTCACATTGGAATGAGGAAATGGAAGATGAACGGCGTTTTCTCTTACTTAGAAAGAGTAGAGAAGATGGAGACTAAAGTATTAGTGCGAAGCCACGCTCCTGACATTCACATTCAAGGTTCAATATATAATACGTGTTAAGTAATATGCCATGGCATTTTCATTATTTTTGACCCATTACCATTTCAGCAATTCAAATTTTTAGAAAATTGAATTTATTTAACAAAGTAACAAAGCACATATCGAGAGCTCGAATTCTAACATTGCCCATCATCTTTCTCCTTTTCCAATATTCTTTTTTCCCTTTAACTAGGAGCACGATCGTGCAGAGGAACTAGCATAAAAACACACCACTGTGACCTCCCACTTACATATGAATTCCCCGTGACAGGAATTGAGCCTGCGACCATCGGTTTCAGAGCCGAAAGCACGGGAAGGCCCGTACCACTTGGTCAATTCCAGGGTTGGTCTTTCTTTATTTAGGCTCCGTTCGTTTGGCGGAAAATATTCTCCTTTTGAAAAATATTTTCCTGGAAAATACTTTCCCGGAACATAATTTTCCGATGTTCGGTGACCAATATGAAAAAAGTTTCGGAAAATATTTTTCGCCGGCGACCGACGGCCAACGTCCGGCAGCGGCGACCGGCGGCGGCGGCGGCGGTGCCGGCAACCGACGGCCAACGTTTGGTGGCGGCGGCGACCGGCCGGCGGCCGGCGATCGGCGGCCGACGACTGCGGCGACGCGCCGCAAAGGCGGCCGGCGACCTTAGTGAAGAAAAAGAAGAAGCAGCTCCGGAAAATGATTTTCGCTTTTTAAGAAGCGAAAGTCATTTTCCATAGACTTTAATCTCTTATTGTTTGTTTGACATCAACGCTAGAAAACATAATTTGATCATAAAAAAAAAGGACCTTGCAAAACTTCAAACAAGCAGGCGATAACTCGGCCTCAGGATCAAGTGCTTCGCTCTTGGCATTAATAGCCCAAAGTCCTCGCTCATGTCCAGCTCGCTCGGCGACGTCCCGTCCGGCAACTCCCACTCGAAACAATGCACTAACTGGGCCAAAACAAGGCGAGCATTAGCGAGGCCCAAGTTCATCCCCGGGCAGCCTCTCCGGCCTGACCCGAACGGTATGAGCTGGAAGTGTCGCCCTTTGACATCCACGCCGCTGTTCGCGAACCTCTCCGGGAAGAACTCCTCTGCATTCTCGGCCCAAGCATTGGTGTCTCTCCCAAGGGCCCACGCGTTCACGATAACCCGAGTCCTCTTTGCAATGTAATACCCGGCAATCTCAACGTCCTCCGTGGACTCGTGCGGGATCATGAGCGGGCCCGGCGGATGCAGCCTCAAGCTCTCTTTCACCACCATGTCCAAATAATTCAGCTTCGGTAGATCCGACTCCTCGACAGTCCGGCCCAACCCGACGACGGCTTCGAGCTCTTGCCGGAGGTGTTTCATCACGCATGGGTTGCGGATCAGCTCGGACAACGCCCACTCGATTATGATGGACGATGTGTCGTACGATGCGACGATCAGGTCAAGGGCTATGGCCTTGATGTTGGTCCGACCCATTATGTGAGCCGGCTCATCTTGCGAGCTATTTATGGGATAGCCCATGATGGAGAGGAATGCGTCTATAAAGTCGCCCTTGTATTTTCCAGTCGTGTCTTCCTCGTGTTCTCTGATGATGTCTTCCAACACTTTGTCTATGGCTCGATTAACTGCTTTTGCACTCCGAGTTATTCTCTGCTAAGGCAAAAAATAACTATTAAATTAATTCCTCGATTTTCGAAGTAGTATTAGCTGCTCAAAAAAAGCAATATATTAGAGCTGCAATTTTTTTATTTTTAAAAAATCAAGCTAGCTAGATTATGCTCTTTATTTTTAGGCCTCTATAGATCTCCTTTTCCTGTTGCTCGTAGAAAGTAGAAACTCTCAAATAGTTGCAAAGTCCATGACAAAAGCAATGACTCAAGCATACTTGTTATGGTTGAGAAAATATTTCATTGATTTGGGTAATAAAACATTTCATTTGTTGATCGACACGTGTCCGGTGAGCCCACATTTCAGATTTTCCAACAGTCCCTTTCTCACTCACCTTCTCAATTCCACAAACACCGCTTGTCTCTTTGCTGCGGTCTCTCTATCCCAACCGACAATGCAAGAAGACGAAATAAAAGATCTAGAAAATCTGAAGATCCGAGAGGGACCCCGAGGGAGAGTGGCGATGCAGAAAATATTAAAGAGTTTCTGGGAACGAACATGAGCCCCATGAATAGAGTCCCAAACTGAGAAAGAAGATGAGGTAGAGCAATAAAGAGAGCTGCTTCCGTTTAGATAAATCTGGAAAATGGCTCCATCAACAGGGTCAAAATCGAGAAGAGATAGAGAGGGAGAGGGCTTGGCTTGATAGTCAGCAAATCTGGAAAAGCTTTAGCTAATGGAGAGGGAGTGATGGTGGCCGCAAACGAAGAAGAAAATGCAGGTGTGAACAACTCGAAAAATGGAGGAAGAGAAGGAGAGGATGATGCTCGGTAGGGGTGATCGGTTCCCGATTCCCAATTTTGAGAATCGGGGACCGGATCGGTTGGTCCTAGGACCGGAAACCGATCATTTTTTTTTTATTTTTTTTCCAATCACAACGAGAGAGAGTGACAAATCTCAACATATTGACGAAAGCGATGATGAATGAAGAGTCATTGTGATGCGACGATAAGAGGAAATCATTGTATGTGGGTTTAGTTTACATTTTACTAATTTTTTGAAGAAATAAAAAATAAGTATAAGTAGTTGGTCCGGTTTCTCCTTGAAATTAGGAACCGGACCGCTTGGACACCAGTTCCACTTTTAGGAACCGGGAACGGAACTGACACTCCCGGGAACCGAACCACACCGGCCGGTCTAGTCTGGTTCGGGAGATTCCCGATCTGGACAATCCGTTTTGTACACCCCTGATGCTCAGCTCCAATAAAAAAATTCTGAAAAGCTTAGCTTTGGTGCCGGAGAAAGAGGGAGAGCATGGGCTTCGGTCACAGCAAAATCAAGAAGAGGGAAAGAGGGAGAATGACAAAGGGGAGGGGAGAAAATATTGCCATGTAACGAAGTAGAGAGAAAAGGTAAAAAGAGAAGGTGAGTGAGAAAGGGATTTCTGAAAAATCTGAAATGTGACCCCGATTAGAGGGATTTATGCTATATCCAGCAAGCAAACAATTCACCGTACTAGATGGACGTTCCACAAGTCTAGAAAGTTTACCACATTTAGAAAATAATGATGAAAGAATAAGAGAAACCTAAATTAAAACCTGAAGATCCAGAGCTCCAAGAAGTGGCACGTAATCCGCCAAATTGAAAGCCCCCGCCAGGTTCGTAAACTCGTGAATCACAGGCTTCAAGTTGAACTCATCCTTTGGGCCACACCCCAATATCATCCCGCACGCCAAGTCCCCGATCAGCTCCCCCACCTCGGCGCTCACGTCCACCGCCTCACGTGCTGCCGCCGCCCGCCTCACCCTCCCCACCACCCTCCCCAGCTCCTCCCTCCTCATGGGCGCGGACGACTCCACCTTTGCCGGGCTCAGCAGGTGCAGCATACACAGCCTCCTCACGCCCCGCCAGTATGCGCCGTTCTCCACGAATGCTATCCCCTTGTCGCCGTACGACATGTGGCGCAGGGCCTCCCAGCTTGGGCGGCTCGAGAAGATGCCGTCGTGGGTCCTGAGGACGAGCTCGGCCGCCTCCGGCGATGAGACCACCACCATCGGCTTGTTGCCGAGGCGGAGGAACATGATGGGGCCGTAGGACTTCGAGAGGCTGTGGAGGCGGCGGTGGGGGAGTTTTCCCAGCTGGTGGAGGTTCCCGATGATGGGCAGCGGCGGTGGACCCGGCGGCAACTTTGGGGCTTTCCGGCGGTGGAGATGGTGGAAGAAGAAGTAGAGAGTGATTAGAAGAGTGGCTGAGAGAATGGCGAGTGGGGAAGTCTCCATTTGCGGGTTGAAGGTTGTTTCCTGTTTTGGTTCAGGGGGTTTTTGTAGAGGTAGAGGATGAAGCGGAGAGTACAAAACCAGTCGCTCTTTGTGTAGCTCCGAGTGGACCACTCGACCGACGAAGGAGGACTCACGTGAAACACGTCCAGCCGCTCTTTGTATAGCTGCGAGTGGACCACTCGACCGATGAAGGAGGACTCGCGTGAAACACGTTTAGTTTTAACGCTAAGAACGATCTAATATTGCCACAGAAGACGGGCTAAAGATCAAGGTTGGCTAGGAAAACGTATGATGTACAAAAGTGCTTGTTCACAAAAATGTCATTGTCAATCCCCATTTTGAGTATAACAATTTTTCACTATGTATATAAAATGATAACACTCCCAAATTAAATAATACTTGCTTTTCCATAGAGCTTTTGTTTATATTTACACGTTTAAAAATTGACTTATGAACACAGCGGAAGATGAGGATAAACACGAGTAAATCTTGTAAAACACGCACGCATGCGCAAACACGCTCAAATGCATAGGTCCAAAGAAAATCCTCTCGTAATTATGTCATTGATCAAAAGGATGAGCTGCGTTACACGAAAATAAGACTCATTTACACGAATATAAATATATATTCACATGTACAAAACCCTAACCTACATAATTTGGTTAGTAAGCCTAATAATTATTTAAGTTTATTACAAAATAATATCATCTAAGATAATAAATAATGTCTAAATCCTACACATAAGGAAATAAAACAAATAAAATTATATCCAAATTTAAGGCATCAATATATCAAAATTAATTCAAAATCAAAATTTGATATTATCTTCATTGGGAAAATTACCAAAAAATTTATAAACCTATTGTATGGATGCTAATTTATTTGTAAAAGGTTTATGACTAAATTGATCGAATTGAAAAGTTTAGGACTGAATTGGCTGCCATATAATGAATTTATGACTTTTTGGATAATTCATTAATTATTATAAGAGAGAAGCTAAAGTGTCTCAGCTCCGAGAATGAGGGGAGATGAATGAGTTTAAGGTGCATTACAGTTTGTACGATATGATTTTGGGGAAAAAAATTGGTGTATTTTCACGAGAAATGGTCTCCTTTCATGATGTTTGAAGTTTAAATGGCCGATTTGAGCAAGCTAAGCCTTCGAAAGTGAATCTCACGTAATGCATGCTCCATGTGTCAAACGACTACGATAGCTTACGGTCCACTATATATGGACCGATGGTAAATTATAATGTGAGTATAGAATATGTACTAGACTAAATCTGGACTGTTAAAACGAGTCTTCTGTGAGTCATATATGGGTCTATTGAATCTAACAATTCATGTTCATATTAGTAACGGATTCAAAGTGCCTAAAAGAAATTCACCTCGAGAGGAACTTCGAAAAGCCGGACCGCATGCATGCATGCGCTCAAAATTCATTGAATAATAATTGGATTCAAATATAAAAAAGAAAATTTAAAACAACCCTGATTTTAAATGAACAAATTCAAACTTGAAACGAAACTTTTTAATTCACTCTGTCTCCTTGTTCTCTGTATATCTATTTCATGTTGAAGCTTCACGATTCCTTCTCCGTAACTCTCTAGTTCGCATCAAAAGTTTGCAAAAGCAGCAAAAGAGCCGAAACTCCTTTTTTCATAGCTTTGTGGTTAATGTTGAAGTTTTATGAAAGTGATTCAAAAGTCTACAAAAGTCGGCAACCTCCGCCGGCCGTCGACGAGGTCCAACGATGGCTAAGGGAGGGAAAAAGGGAAAACGAAAATATAAAAAAGAAAAGAAGAGAAAAGAAAAAAAGAAAAGGAAAGGGTAAACAACACAATGATCTATGAATTTTGGCCCAATATATAATGTGGTCCTCAAATTTTAATTTATTTAATATGGTCCCTGGACTTTTCGTATGTTTTCAATTTAGTCCCTTAACTTTGGCCTAATATGCAATGTGGTTCTGGAACTTTTAATTTGTTCAATGTGATCTCTGGACTTTTGGTACATTTTCAATTTAGTCCCTGAATTTTGAACAAAAAAGAATCTTGTTCAATGCGACATTAAACATTTTCATATAGTCCAGAGACTAAATTGAAAATATGCCAAAAGTCTAAGGACCACATTAAACAAATTAAAAGTTCGGGGATAATATTACACATTGAGCTAAAGTTTAGGGATCACATTATTCAATGACCACATTGTACATTAGGCCAAAGTTCATGGACCATTTGTGTCATTATAAAAAAAAAGGAAAAAGGAAAAGAGAAGAAAAGAAAAAAAAGGAAAAAGAAAAGAAAAATAAAACAATATCATTTAAATGTTATTAAAAGTGATCTATATCAACGACAACCGTGCCATGTAGGACGGTCGGCCTCCACGTTAGCGATTTCCAGTCAAAATTGGCCGAATGAACTCAATTGACAAAACGTAAAAATATTTATGGCTCAATTAGCACAATTATAAGGTTTATAAATGAATTGCTAAAAGTACAATAGATTTATGACTTTTTGGACAATTTTCCCATGCCTCTTTCTTGTCAACTTAGCCAACCGGTGAAGGTACTTTATAGAGTTGTTGAACTATATACATCAAGTGTTGATATATGACTTTGCAGATTTGATTAATTCAAGAGGCGTTTTCACCCAAAAGGCCACTTCACCTTTTGACATAAAAAAATTGTTATGTAATTGGCACGATAAACATAATCAATCACAACACAAGAATCATTCGAAAAAACAATACAACATCAATTGAAATCTAATGACTTGCGAAATTAGCCTCTAATTTCGAACCACGTATTTACTACTAATCGAAGGGGGATTGCGAATATCATGACCGTGAGAATTGATCACGTCTTGGACATTGATTCTTGGATAATTGACTGGTGATAAGAAGGAAAACCATCTTTGGTACTACGGATGGAAACATAAACAACACAGAAATGTGTAGTTGATGATTATTCGACGAAATAAAATGAGCAAATGGCTATTCAAATGCAATTTGAGTTTTTTTTTAAACGGGCAATGATATGTAATATCATAATCATTCATCATATTAAGGGTCCGTTTGGTTCAACTTTGCAAATGAGCCTTGGAGGAATGCAAATACCTTTAAATTAAAGCCCCTTGGAGAAATGCAAATGGCAGTTGATAAAAAATTCTTTGTGAAGCTACTTTGGGCCAATTAGTGTTTTGTTTTTTTTTTTTTTTGCAAAGAGCTTTGGGATTTTCTTTTTTATTAAAAAAAAGGGTTACCCTTCGCCGGAGCTGGCGAGCCAGATCTGGCACCGGTGGCCATCGCCTGAGATCGGGCGACCGTTGACAAGCCAGATCTGGCACCGGTGGCCGTCGCCTGAGGTCGGGTGACCCCCAGCGAGGGTCGCACTACCCAAGCAGCCCTCGCCAGGGGTCGCCCGACCTCAGGCGACGAGGTCCGAGGTTGCGCGACCCAGGCACCATCGCCTAGGGTTGCTTGACCTAGGCCGTTGTCGCCTAGGTCGAGCGACCCAGGCCGACGGCGCCTGGGCGGTTGTGCGACCTCAGGCTGTCGTCGCTAAGGATGCGCGACGTCGAGGATGCACGACGTGAGGTCGCACGACCGTGGTCGGCCAGATCTGGGTCGCCTTCGCGTCGGCCATATCTGGGTTGCTCGACCCTCAATCTTGACCTCGACCCACAGCAGCTCCAGTGAAGACAGCACCTCTGGTGAAGACAGCGGCTCGACGGCACGTGCGACAGCGAGCTTGAGGGAGAAGATGAACAGTATCTTTTGAGGGCAAAAGTGGAACACATAATTATCAGTGAGGACAATATTGAAAAGATAAAAAAAGTCATTAAACCGCTATTGTAGCATTCCCAATGTTAGCATTTGGCGAATGGGGTCACAAAAATGTTTGCCAAATCTCATATTTTTCTCAAGGGGTTTTAGGGGCTCAAAGCCCATTGGTAAAGCTGAACCAAACGGGGCCTAATTGCCGGTAAATAAGTATAAATAATCCGCTTAATATACTGTACTAATTTTTTCGGTGATAACATTTATGGCATAAGAAATGCGGGTTGAAAACTTCTTTAGTTTTTTTTTTTTTTTTTGTGAAGTGTCGCGATGCGTAGAATCGAAAAAGACGGTTTCTCGCCTTTTCAATCAAAAGCGTCGTACCGTCCACAGAAATGTTAAGGACAGAGCCGGACGAACTAAAATTTTTCACTATGAAATTCACTTATTTAATGTTTCACATGACATTATCGCAAAAAGGATGTCGTGGGCGACCGTAGGTGTAGAAGCAACCAAGTTGATATCGCAAGCTTGTATTACGTTTATTTCTTTGTTTTTAACATGTGCGATAGGGGGAGAGAGAGAGAGGCGGAAAGTTGACTTAGACCATTATAACATTCAGTAAACAAATGCAATCCATAGGTTACACTTTGTTAGCGAACTGCAGACCCGACCTCTTCATCCCGTGGAAGACCAAGACCTCGTTTATTATATTTCTTTTTTGAATTGACTGAAGTGAATATAAACTCAGTTAGATGGAAATTTTCCACATTGACATGGTCAAAATGATAAAAAAATAAAGATAGAAAAAATCTTGCAAATAATACTTCCCCCAGTAATCAGACCTTCATTAGTCACCAAGAAGTTGCTTAGTAAATATTCTATTCATGGTCAACATGTATTGTTGAGCATCCTCAAATTTTAAGACTCCCACTTGATTCAAGTACAAAGAGGAAAAAGATTAAGAAAAGAAAAAAGAAAAGTTGTCTGAATGTTTGTATATATATATATATATATATATTGCTGCATCCGGGTGTTTGTGGCAATGCTTGGCGTAGCTCCATAGTTCTTGCCTTCTCTCATCCTTTTGCCGAGGCGAATTTTAGCTCCAAATGGCTCCGCGAAACCCCGGAGGAGGCTCGAAAGCCCCTCCACCTCCAGTCGCCGCGACACCTCTCGTGGCATTCCCTCTGGGAGCGAGCGCTCCTTCGGCATACGTCGGCCATCCCGTTCCTCCACAGGTCTACGTAGGAACACTCGTTCAAAACGTTCCCGATGCCAACGTGGGAGAGTGGACCACCAGTCTTTGTGGTTGCTTCGATGATCTATCGAATTGTGAGTCTTTTTTGCCAAAGAAAAATCCTCCATAGGACTCAATCTTGCTTTTCTCAATCGTGTGATGAGTTATATCATGTTGATAATGTTTTTTTTTTGTTAGAGATATATAATAGATTCTCTATATTTCTAACATATCACGTCAATAATGTTCTTTCTTGTTTCCAACGAAGGCGTGATCACCTGTTTCTGCCCGTGTGTCACGTTCGGCCAGAACGCCGAGATCATAGACAGAGGAAATACCTGTAAGCGAAAAACCTCAACAAAACCTCATCTTAGCAAACAACTATGATTTAAGGTTCGATTTTTTCTCCCGCTAACAATTTGACTTTGGCTAATGGACTGGCAGCATGTGCATCTGCCGGGGCTCTGTGCTGCCTGGCATTACACTTCTTTTATTGTTCGTACTGGTACACATGCACTTACCGGACCAAGCTCCGCGGCATCTACTCGATCCCCGGCGGCCAGTGTGGAGATTTTTGCGTACACCATTGGTGTGGACCATGCGCTCTTTGTCAAGAGTATCGGGAGCTCAAGAATCGCGGGTTCGATCCCTCAATCGGTAAGTTCATTACCCAATATGTTCTTTGGCCCAGTAATTCATCGTTCCTAACTTCCTATATGCACTCAGAAAGAACAAAAAAGAACATTGAAACTAGACTGAACTCATCTGATTGGTATTGCTTAGAAGTAAGATTGGTTCAAATCCAATAGTAGGTTAAACTTATTAAACTCCATCACTATTGTTCATATTTGAATGGAAAATAGAGATATTGCAATTTCTAATTTTAAAAAAATAAGGAACAAACTCTATAGTTTTTATCATGATAAGCTATCATTATCGATAAGTCATCAGAATAATGAGTCTTAGTAATTATAGTTATAAAATAAGGCGGAACACTTGTTTATGAACAATGATAATATTGTCTATTGAACTGCCAAATATTCCATTATTCTTATCAAATCTATTCTAAAACTTAGAAATCAATTAAAAAAAAGAAAATGTAAATAGACCTAGTCCGATGAATCTTGACTATATCCACGATTTTGAACATCCATCCCATTTGTATTCTGGATAATCGTATAAGAAGATCATTGAAAGGACAAATTCCTAGAATTTATGGGGAGTGGAGGATAAAGAAATTGTTGAAAGTACCATTTTTTTTTAATCTAGCATCAATCTATTTGATGTTAAAAAGATCCGTTGAAGGAAGGTCGGCTAGAAATTTCTCGAAAAATGAAAATGTCCCACGCACAAAACCTCTTATGACAAGGTTATTTAAGATTGCCAATTAAGAAATAAAGCCCTATTTTTTAGGGAGATTTGAGCGGTTCATTTTGACTTTTGGTGCCAATAGATTCTACTCAATTGCGATTAGAGACCAAGTAAGCACAAATGCTTCGAGATTCTAACATGCATTTTGGAAGCTCAAATTATATAGAATATCATATTATTACTGAGTGTTAAATATGAGACACTTGTTTAAATGTACTGTTAAAATCTATCGCCTCATTTATTTCATGAATTTTGTAGACAAATCTTCATACACCTATCATTACTCAAACATACTTATGTACGTATATGACATGAATGTGACCGGTTAAATATTTTCATACTCGACAAGATGTGCAGGATGGGTCGCTAACGATGAACGAAGGACTCGGCAGGTCGGAATAGTGGTCCCTCCGTCAGTTCCCGGCGGCATGATTCGTTGATGTCTCTCTCAGGCCAACCTTCGCCAACAGTTCATCCATCTTCATTTCAAATTCTAATCTTGCCCTCCCTTTCAAAAGCCTTAGCAAACCTAGTTGAGCCAGCCAAGCGATTGGGAGTATTTTGTGTGCCTTTTATTTTAAGTTTCGGGGCTTTGTTTTAATTTCCAGAACTGGAATTGGGACTTTCATACTCCGTTGTAATATATACTCGATGCTATCTTAAGTTACATCACAATAACCTTGGAATTGAAGAGAATTTTCTTTACAGCGGATTACAAAGACAGATTTGAGAATGCTAATTAATATATTCATGTCGTGGGTCGCGGATCACGATGATAAATGCGTGGTCAGGTGGCATCTCGTATTTATGCAGACCATAAAGGTCATAGATTGACTGCCAAAAAGAACCATTATTTTCTAGCTTTTATTTTTCCTCGATTATCCCATAATGCAAACGACCAACAAGAGCAAACCGTTGAATGTCACAAAAAAGAAAAAAAGATTTGATAAGAATAACCCATCTTGGAAAGACTCATTTTTCCTTCGTGAGCGATATCTAAAACATAATTATCATTGTGAATAAGAAGTTGAGCTCCCAAAACAGAAACCTTCGCTTGCACATTCGAAAGAGAGAACATTTGGGGGCAAAAACTCGCTCTAGCAAATCTCTGGTCAGCGCTGCTTACCAGAGGAGGCGGCGAGTCGATCAATCCCGACCCCGGTGCTGCCATGACGACCAAGTCCTGCAAGTCTTGATGGTTGACCTTTCTTCTGCATTTGACCACTAAACTAAGATAAGACGAGCAAACCGTTGATTAGCTGGTGTTTTCAGTTAAATCACGCAAGGAAATGAATTTAAACACCCATTTCCAATCTATCTGTAATAAGAATAAAAATGAGGAAATGCGCTATTCAGGGTTCACACACATTTCCAATCTATCTGAAAAAAATCCGGACCGACCCGACCCTGTGGGTATATGTTGAACAAGTGTCGAGTCGGGTCACTATAGGATTTGGGTCGGGTATCATGAAGACCAAACCCATTGACACCCCTAGCGGAGGGACATGGTCACTATACGCTTTCTTCGTTTCTTTTTATTTATTTATTTTCGGCTAATTACTTTTTCTTTTTTGGGGTGGGGGGTGAGTCGAAACGGGTATGTTTTAAAGGCTTTGATATTGTCGATCTTTCTTAACATATGTTTAAATTTTCAAACATACCATATTTTGCCAATCCCATCTGATTTCGATAGAAAAGGAACTTGAAGATGATCCGCATAATCAAAACATGAGCCATACAACCAGTTGGATTTAATTGGTCAAAATTGAATCCCTCGGATCCCAACACATGGCCCAAGTCCGAATAGGTTTTTGGAGTCTCGCCCTTCGATATACACGCTGCCGTTCGCGAACCTCTCCAGGAGAAACTCCTCCACATTCTCGTGCCCACGCCTTGGCGTCTCTCCCATAGGGCGCACGGGGTCACGATGACCCGAGTCCTCTTCGTGATGTAAAACCCGGCGATCTCGACGTCCTCTGTGGACTCGTGGGTAGTCATGGCCACGGGCCGGTTTTGGCCCGGAACTAGCCCGGTCAAACCCGGGCCCGCGGTTTGGAACCGGAACTGGCCCGTGGCCTATGGGGCCCGGTTCTAGTTCCAACAATTTTGGAACCGGCGGTTCCGGGCCCGGTTCCAAATTATTTTTAAAAAAATAATAATAATGAATTTTTTTTAAAAAAAATCATTATTTTTTTTTTATAAAACAATTTGAACTCTAATTGCCATGCATTGTAAGTGCATTGATCTCTAATTACAATGCTTGACTTGGGTGTATTGAACTCTAATTACAAGGTTTGGCTTGGGTTTTATACACAATGATTCTAATTCCTCTTCGTTCCCATTCGATGTGGGATTCTCGGCTTGCCTTGAACACCTTCATTGTGAGACTCTTGGCTTGTCTTCATGCAAATGCCAAGAGTCTCACATCAAATGAGAATGAAGAGACCATCAAAGGGGTTGTGTATAAAATCCAAGCCAAATCATGAACATGTGAAGTTGTTTGCCTTTTGTGGCTACAATCCTTTGCTAGTTAAGAGCAAAGGGTTCCATTGGCGATTCGTGGCCATGTGTGAACCGGAACCGGCCGGTTCCGAACTGTGGCCATGACTAATCGTGGGGGACCAGGAGCGGGCCCGGCAGATACAACTTGAAGCTCTCTTTCACCACCATGTCCAAATAATTCAGCTTCGGCAAATCTAACTCCTCGACGGTCTGGCCCAACCTGACAATGAGTTCGAGCTCTTGCTGGAGGTGTTCCATCACGCATGGGTTGCGGATCAGCTCGGACAAGGCCCGCTTGATCACGATGGACGATGACTCGTACGATGTGGCAATCAGGTCGAGGGCAAAGGCCTTGATATTGGTGCGACCCAATATGTGAACCGGCTCATCTTACGAGCTATTTATAGGATGGCCACAATGGAGAGGAATGTGTTTATAAAACCACCATTATATTTCCAGTGGTGTCTTTCTCGTGTTCTTTTATAATATCTTTTAACACCTTGTTCGTGGCTTGATTAACTATTTTTGCACGAGAGTCATTTCCCGCTAAGGCAAAAAACATAACTATTAAATTAACTCCTCGATTGTCAAAGTATTATTTACGCAAAAAAAGCAATATATTAGAACTGCAAAGTTATTTATTTATAAAAGATCAAGCTAGCTAGATTATGCTCTTTGTTTTTAGGCCTCTATAGATCTTTTCTTCCTGTTGCTCATGGAAACTCTCAAATAGTTGCAAACTTATAAGCACTGCGCACGTACACGACAAAAAGCAATGACTCAAGCGTACTTGTTACAGTCCAATTCACTGTACTATATACTGCAATCAAACAATTCACCATACTACATATAGATGTTCCACAAGTCTAGAAAGTTTACCATATTTAGAAAATAATGATGAAAGAATTAGAGAAACCTAAATTAAAACCTGAAGATCCAGGAGGCACGTAATCCGCCAAATTGAAAGCCCCCGCCAGGTTCATAAACTCATGAATCACAGGCTTCAAGTTGAACTTATCCTTTGGGCCACACCCCAATATCATCCCGCACGTCAAGTCACCGATCAGCTCCCCCACCTCCGCGCTCACGTCCACGCCTCATGTGCCGCCGCCGCCTTCCTCACCCACCTCATTGGCGTGAACGACTCCCACCTTTGCTGGGCTCAACAGGTGCAGCATGCACAGCTTCCTCCCGCTGCGCTATTACGCACTATTCTTTGCGAAAGCCATCCCCCTGTTGCCGTACGACATGTGGTGCGGGGCCTCCATGCTCGGGCGGCTCGAGAAGATGCTATTGTGGGTCCTGAGGATCAGCTTGGCCACCTCCGGCGACAAGACCACCACCATCAGCTTGTTGCCGAGGCGGAGGAACATGATGGACCCATAGGCCTTGGCGAGGCTTTGGAGGCGGTGGTGGGGGAGGTGGTGGAGGTTCCCAATGATGGGCAGTGGCGGCTGACCCGGCGGCAACTTTGGGGCTTTCCGGTGGCGTAGATGGTGTAAAAAGAAGGCTGCTTCATGTTTTGGTTCAAAAGCTCTAATTTTCTAATTAGCCGGCTGAAAAGATTCGATGAGTATCGCTTCGTTCATTTCACGGAAAATGTGACATCTCTGGAAAATATTTTCCATGAAGTCTTTTTCCACGAAAATGACAATATTTTCTGGTGTTCGGTTTAAACATAAAAATGAGATAGAAAATATTTTCCGCCGTTTGCCATGGAAAATTTGATTTGCATGATTCTCTTGAGAAAAATATCCAAAAATTCAAAATTTTAAATTTTTTGATTTTTCTTTTATTTTTCCCTTCTATCTCTATGCAAGGTGGAGCCTTGGGTGAGGTCGAGCTTACCAGCCTTGGGACGAGCTCGACCTCGCTAGATCGGGCAAGTTTGAGCCTCGTCGGCCTTAAGCAAGCCTGAGACTTGCCTGTGGCCATTGACTAGCCGAGGAAGAAGCAAAACGAAAAAGAAAGAAAATAAAAAGTAATAAAAAATTCGATTTTTTTTAAAATAAAATAATTAAAAATTAAAACTTTTTAAAAAATAATAAATAATTTAAATTTTCGAATTTAAAAAAATATATTCTCATAAGAACGAACGTTTCATTAATCAATGACCCGAGCCTGAGTGTCGAGGACTCACACACGGCCTTTATAGACCCGGGCCTAAGTGCTAGGGACTAGAGCTTGAGCGTTAGGACCTGAACCGAGCCCTTTATTGATGCGGGCTTGGGTGCTGGGGCATAGGGCATGGGCACTAGTGGTTCGGGCTCAACCTCGGTCTCGATGGACCGGGGCATGGGCCTCGAAGGCTCAGGCCTGGGCACTAGGGTCCCGAGCCCGGCCTCAATGGACCCAAGTTCGGTCTCAATGGACTCGTGCTCGAGCGTTAGAGACCTGGTCCTGGCCTCGATGGACTCGGGGCCCGACCTTGATGGACTTGGCCTGGGCGTTGGAGACTTGGGAACCAACATTGGGATTCTCATGTTCAAACGTAGTGTTTTGGGTCCAAGTGTCAATACCTAATCATATTTTGAAAAACGTTTTTCGACTTTTTCAAAGAGAAAATCATTTTCCTGAATTTAAGAATAGGTTTTCCGTTAACCAGAAAAATATTTTCCATTGACTCATTTTCCTAAGTAAACCGAACGCCGAAAAATATTTTCTGTGAAACGAATGGAGCCTGCATCTAAACTAATCACGCCGACTACACCGCTGCGAAAGTGGAAACACATTTGTGGGTAGACAAATAATAATATGAAAAAGCAACTTCGTTTGTTTCAATGGAAAATAAATAATTTGGAAAATGTATTCCTAAAAATGATGATAAATTTTTTTTATTAACTAATTATTTCAAGCGATATAAACGATATTTTTAAGAAAATATTTTTTAAATAATTTATTTTTCGCGAAATAAACGGAATATTCCTACTTGTCAATAATTATTAGTTTATGAATATTTTTGAGCTGTGGCGATGCAAGGCCTTCCTCGGTCAATAGTGTTGCTTTATCTTTATTTCCATGGTTTTGATTGGTCAAAATTCATCATCATTCGACAAGCTTATTTCCAGCATTTGTACATACATAAAAAAAGTACCAAATAAAAATTAAATTAAATTGCATAGACAGTAGAGGGAAAGAACTCGATAGTAAATCCCGTCTTTATATAGAATGGGCTAATGTTAAGATGCACATAAGTTGACTCTTAAGAGAGGCAGATGCAGCCTAGAACGTTCGATCAGTCTAAAGTACTTTGTTGTTCAAATTAGCACAAAAAACTTGTCAAAGGAAATCTCAGACATCAATTTGACCGGTAACGTATAACAAATCTTGCCAAATTTCAAACAAGCAGGCGATAACTCGGCCTCAGGATCAAGTGCTTCGCTCTGGGCATTGACAACCCAAAGTCCTAGCTCATGTCCAGCTCGCTCGGCGACGTCCCCTCCGGTAACTCCCAGTCGAAACAATGCACTAACTGGGCCAAAACAAGGCGAACATTAACGAGGCCCAAGTTCATCCCCGGGCAGCCTCTCCGACCCGACCCAAACGGTATGAGCTGGAAGTCTCGCCCTTTGACGTCCATGCCGCTGTTCGCGAACCTCTCCGGGAAGAACTCCTCCGCATTCTCGGCCCAAGCGTTGGTGTCTCTCCCAAGGGCCCACGCGTTCACGATGACCTGAGTCCTCTTCGCGATGTAATACCCGGCAATCTCGACATCCTCCATGGACTCGCGTGGGACCAGGAGCGGGCCCGGCGGATACAGCCTGAAGCTCTCTTTCACCACCATGTCCAAATAATTAAGCTCTGGCAGATCCGACTCCTCGACGGTCCGGTCCAACCCGACGACAGTTTCGAGCTCTTGCTGGAGGTGCTTCATCACGCGTGGGTTGCGGATCAGCTCGGACAAGGCCCACTCGATCGCGGTCGACGAGGACTCGTACGACGCGGCGATCATGTCGAGGGCTATGGCCTTGACGTTGGTCCCACCCATGATGTGAACCTGCTCGTCTTGCGAGCTATTTATGGGATGGCCCATGCCGGCGAGCAATGTGTACATAAAGTCACCCTTATATTTTCCGGTCGCATCTTCCTCGTGTTCTCTGATGATGTCCTCGAAAACCTTATCCATGGCTCGATTAACAGCTTTTGCACGCCGAGTCATTCCCTATTAAGGCAAAAAAGTGATTGTTAAACAAGCTTTATTTTTTGATTTTCAAAATATTATTTACACAACAAACTAGAAAAGATGTAATAGAAGCTGCAAATTTTTGTATCTATAAAGTTGTTTGCATTTTCTCAAAATCCGAACTAAATGCACCGTTCGTCCTGATGCTCATAGAGAGTAGAAACTTTGCAAACTCATAAGCATTGCCTACGGATATGGGGAAAAGTGTCAGAAAAGCCCCAAACATTTTGTATTGATGCCAATTTAGTCCTAAATCCGTTTTTTATGCCAATGTAGTCTTAAACCTTTTAATATAATGTCAATTCAGTCCTTTCGATTAATTTTAGCTAGATTTTGCTAACATGGACGCTAGCCAACCTACGTGGCATGGTCGGCACTGACGTGAACAACCTTCAAGATTATTTTAATATTTTTTTTTGAATTTTTACTTATTTTTTTATTTTCTTTTCCTTCCCTCCCTCCTTCCTCTAGCCGGTCGCGACTGGCTATTGGCAAGGCTCGCCCTCACTAGCGATGGTAAAGGTGAGCCTCTCCAGATATGGCGAGGTCATGCCTCGGCCAACCACCGGCGAGGCTCGACCTCGCCAGATCCGGTGAGGTCGGGCCTCGCCCAGCCGCTGGCGAGGCTTGAGCCCTCGCCAGAGGCTTTCGACCTCGTAGCCTCTGGCGAGGGTGAGCCTCACCAGTGGCCGGCGTGGCTCGCCAAAGGCCGGCGAGCTCAAGCCTCTGGCCGGTCGCTGGTCTAGCAACCAGCTGAGGAAGGAGGGAGGGGAGGAAAAAAAAGAAAAAAAGAAATAAAAATCCAAAAAATATTAAAATATTATTAAAAATTATCCACGTCATCAATATCATGCCAAAATTAGCCGGAAGAACTGAATTGAAACAAAAATAAAATATGTAGGACTTAATTGACATCAAAAAAAGGTTTATGACTCAATTAGCACAAATTCAATAGGTTTATGACTTTTCTGACACTTTTCCCGACAGATATGACATGTGACAAAAGCACTGAGTCAAGCGTTACTTTGCATAATTCCAAATGACTGTACTATATATACCGTAAGCTAAAAATTTACCGTACTACATTAATATTGCACAAGTCTAATTGAATCACAAAATAAACTAACAACTAATACCTGAAGATTGAGAGCACCAAGAAGAGGCACATAGTCCGCCAAATTGAAAGCCCCGGCCAAGTTCCGAGCCTCGTTAATCACAGGCTTCAAGTTGAACTTAACCCTCGTGCTGCACCCCAATATCATCCTGCACGCCAAGTCCCCCATCAGCTGCCCCACCTCCGCGCTCACGTCCACCGCCTCGCGCGCCGCTGCTGCTGCCGTCACCCTCCCGACCATCCCCCACAGCTCCTCCCTCCTCATCGGCGCGAACGACTCCACCTTCACCGGGCTCAGCAGCTGCAGCATGCACAGCCTCCTCAGGCCCCGCCAGTACGCACCGCTCTCCGCGAACGCCATCCCCTTGTTGCCGTATGACATGTGGTACAGGGCATCCACGCTTGGGCGACTCGAGAAGATGCTGTCGTGGGTCTTGAGGACAAGCTCGGCTGCCTCCGGCGACGAGACCACCACCGTCGGCTTGTTGCCGAGGCGGAGGAACATGATGGTGCCGTAGGACTTGGCGAGGCTGTGGAGGCTACGGTGGGGGAGGTTGCCGAGCTGGTGGAGGTTCCCGATGACGGGCAGTGGGGGCGGACCTGGCGGCAGCTTGGGGGCATTCCGGCAGCGGAGGAGGTGGTGGAAGAAGAAGTAGAGAGATATTAGAAGAAGGGTCGAGGGAAGGGCGAGTGGGGAAGTCTCCATTTGCAAGTTGAAGATGGTGGTGTCTTGCTTTGGTTGTGAGCCTGGTTGAGGATGGAGCGGAGATATGGAGAGTGATAATGCAATTGCTGTCTGGATAGCTACGAGTGGCAACTACAACGGATGAAGTGGACCGACGTGAGGTGGGCTCTTGTGGCCGTGGGCTACCCATTATTCACTTGGGTCAAGAAAGGTTGGCGCTTGATTTGACATTCCCCTAATAGTTGCAAATAATTCTTTTAATTAAAGTGAGGGAAGATGGGATTTTTTTTAAGCACGAATCCAAGTCGATAGCTGGCGAAATCAATGGATCCTACCATCTCAATTATTAATTATATGAATTACAATTAGGGACCTGCGCGATTAACAGTGCGGATGATTTTGATCCGCGTGTTCTATGCATGCAATTTTTTTTTGTCACGCACGATTGATGATATTTGCGGTGTGATTACATTCGTCGTTTTCGTAGATAATCCACATGGAATCGTAGCTCAAAATGAGATAGATGGGAAGTGCAAGGGCGCACGGATGTTAACATGTCATTGACGATGCACAAGTGGATATGTGTTAGTACAATGGGGACATCAATTTCCAGCTTCTAAAGTAGTAAAGGAGCATATATCCAACAAGCAGAAGACGAAAAGTTTTTTTCTCTCTCATCTCTCTCCATTGGCTTCTTCAAGCTTTAGTCATAGAGAGGGTTTGAGCTAGTCTCACCCTTCTCTCCCGTTGATTTTGTTCTAGTCTTTTTGTTCTTTTCTTATTTTTCTATACTCTCTTGATCTAAATTTAGGAGTTCTCTTTTCTTGGTTTAATTCTAGATCTAAAAGTTTAAACTCTCCTGATTTAGTTCTAGATCTATGAGCTTTTCTCTCCCGATTTAAATTTAGAAGTTCAATAATATTTTTAAGGATTCGATACCCCGTGCTATGTCTCTATACAGGTCCTCTGCCTCCAATTGAGATCTGTGTTATTTCAACTCGTTTTGATTATCTTCATCTGGCAATGATGTAGAGGAGCGGAACATAGGCGTGCACTGTCAAAAGGCAACGGCGTAGTTATTGGAGAAGGACTTTCCGGCATGTGCTCATCACTGATGGATGATACGAGATTTAGTGATCGGCCGCCAATTACTTTACTTGAAAAATCCGTTTTTATGAAATGAGTACGTGCTTAACCCTGTCGATGTTCTGTTGATCTTCCTTATTTTTGAATTTGGCTTTGTTTTGTTGTATTCTGAGATTTGCTTTGGTTCGATTTTCTTTGTCATGAAAGTTATTGTACTTCTCATATATCTTTTGAATAATAAATACAATTTTCTTTCAACAAAAAAAATATTGTAAAATATCTCATCCAAAAGAATTTTTTGACCAAAAAAAAATCTCATCCAAAAGAATTGGCAAAAGCACTTCATAACTCTGTTTTCTATACAGAACTAGATGAAAGAGAAGATCTTGTGGCACATGAAAGTGTAAGAGTCGGACCATTAATCGATTAACATTAGACCAATATTGTTGCGTTCTTTCTATATTTAGAAATTATAATCGGGTTTGTGCTCACTTTTAGCGCCTTTTTTTCCAAATTGACCCTACATTATATAATAAAAAGATCAAAGATCATACAATTAACAATTCTAATAACTTCCCACTTTCTGCCACTTCCCTATATAGCCATCAATTTTCTTTCATTGAAGTACAATTACAAAGCTTCAATCGTGCCCAAACAATATTGAACAATAGTGCAAAGATATAACCAACGCAGTAATATGCTCAGTTGAAGGGTCAAGCCATCATGTGAGAATCGGCAATACACAAGTATCAGTCGGGAACAGATAACTTGTAGTGAAGTTGAATCATCAAAGACAGGATCCTCTCGGTTTGCTCACTTTGTATATGAGATTGTCCATGTACGTGCCTCTTTCTTGTCGACTTATTCAAACGGCGAAGGTACTTTATGTAGTTGTTTAAGTATACATCGAGTGTCGATATATGAAGATGCATATCCAATTCATTCAAGAGGCGTTTTCTCCCCGAAGCCCACTTCACCTTCCGACGTAAAAAATTTGGTATGCGATTGACGTGATTGACAGAGTCAATTACAGCATAGGAATCGTACGAGAAAACAATACAACATCAATTGAAATCGAAGGGGCCTTGCGAAAATCATGACCGTGAGAATTGATCACGTCTTTGACATTGACTCTTGTATTATTAATTGGTGACAAGAAGGAAAACCATCTTTGGTACTATGGGTGGAAACATAAACAACACAGAAATGTGTAGTTGATGATTATTTGACGAAATAAAATGAGCAAATGGCTATTCAAATGTAATCTGATCTTCTTTTCTTTTTTTTTAAAAACGGCAATGATATCTAATATCATAATCATTCATCATACTAACTTTAGCTGTAGAAGAAACCAAGCTGCTACGCAAGCTTGTATTGCTTTTATTTCTTTGTTTTGAATATGTGCGATAGAGAGAGAGATAGAGAGAGAGTGAGAGTTAACTTACACCATTATAGCATTCATCCAGTGGAAGAAGAGAAGACCTCGATTATTATATTTCTTTTTCAAATTGATTGAGCTATATTTGAACTCAGTTCGATGGAAAATTTCCACATTGACATAGTCAAAATGATAAAAAATAATAATAATAAAAAGAATCTTGCAAATAATACTTCACCGAGTAATCAGACCTTCATTAGTCACGAAGAAGTTGATTAGTAAATATTCTATTCATGGTCAACATGTATTGTTGAGCATTCTCAAGTTTTAAAATTCCCACTTGATTCAAGTACATAGCGGAAAAAGATTAAAAAAAGAAAAAAAAAACAAAAGAAAGGTTGTGTGAATATTTGTATATATTGCAGCTTCCGGGTGTTTGTGGCAATACTTGACGGAGCTCCATAGTTTTTGCCTTCTCTCATTCTTTCGCCGAGGCGAATTTTAGCTCCAAAATGGCTCCGCGAAACCCTGGAGGAGACTCGAAAGTGCCTCCACCTCCAGTAGCCGCACCACTTTCCGTGGCGTTACCTCCGGAAGCGAGCGCTCCCCCGGCATACGTTGGCCATCCCATTCCTCCACAGGTCTACATAGGAACACCCGTGGACAACGTTCCCGGCACCAACTTGGGAGTGTGGACCACCGGTCTTTTCGGTTGCTTCGACGATCTATCGAATTGTAAGTTTTTTTTCTCCAAAGAAAAATTCCATAGGACTCGATCTTGCTTTTGTCAATCGCGTGATGGGTTATATCACATCGATGATGTTCTTTGTTAGAGATATATATAATAGATTCTCCTTATCTCTAACGTATCGATCATCTTCCTTTTTTCGTTTCCAACAAAGGCTTGATCACCATTTTCTGCCCGTGTGTCACGTTCGGCCAGAACGCCGAGATCATAGACAGAGGAAGCACCTGTAAGCAAAAAACCTCAACAAAACCTCGTCTTAGCAAAAAAGTAAGATTAAGGTTCGATTTTCTCCTGCTAAAAATTTGACTTTGGCTAATGAATTGGCAGCTTGTGCGTGTGCCGGGGCTGTGTGCTGCCTGATATTCCACTTCTTTTATTGTTCATTCTGGTACACATGCACTTACCGGACCAAGCTCCGTGGCCTCTACTCGATCCCCGGTGACCAGTGCGGAGATTGTTTCGTGCATCTTTTGTGCGTGCCATGCGCTCTTTGTCAAGAGTATCGGGAACTCAAGAACCGCGGGTTCGATCCCTCGATCGGTAAGTTCATTACCCAATATGTTCTTTGGCCCAGTAATTCATCGTTCCTAACTTCCTATCAGCACTCAGAAAGAACAAAAAAGAACAATGAAACTAGACTGAACTCATCTGATTGGTATTTAAGATTGATTGGTTCAAATCCAATAATAGGTTAAACTTATTAAACTCCATTGCTATTGTTCATATTTGAATGGAAAATAGGGATATTGCTATTTTTAATCTAAAAAAAAGGAATTTTTTTTTTATCATGATAAGCTATCGTTATCGATAAGTTTATCGGAATAATGAGTCTTAGTAACTATAGTTATAAAATAATGCGGAACACTTGTTTATGAACAATGATAATATTGTCTCTTGAATCGCCAAATGCGCCATTGTTCCTGTCAAATCTATTCTAAAACTTAGAAATCAACAAACAAAAGAAAAATTAAATAGACCTAGTCCGATGAATCATTATCATACCTACTATTTCGACCATCCATCCCATTTGCATTCTGGATATCCGTATAAAAAGATCGTTGAAATGACAAATTCCTAGAGCTTATACGGCGTGGAGGACAAAGAAACTATTGAAGCTACCATTTTTTAATCTAGTATCAATCCATTTGATGTTAAAAAAATCCGTTGGAGGAAGGTCCTCTAGAAATTTCTTGTGACAAGGTTATTTAAGATTGCCAATTAAGAAATAAAGCCCTATGTTTTTAGGGAGATTCTACTCAGTTGCGATTAGAGACCCAAGTAAACACAAATGCTTCGAGATTCTAACATGCATTTTGGAAGCTCAAATCACATAGAATACCATATTAGTGCCGAGTGTTGAATACGAGACACTTGTTTAAATGTTCGGTTAAAATCTACCACCTTATGTATTTCATGAATTTTGTAGACAAATCTTAATACACCTACCATTACTCGAACATACTTATGTACGTATATCATATGAATGTGACTGGTTACACATTTTCATATGCGACATGATGCGCAGGATGGGTCGCTAACGAGGAACGAAGGACTCGGCAGGTCGGAATTGTGGTCCCTCCGTTAGTTCCCAGAGGCATGACTCGTTGATGTCTCTCTCGGGCCAACCTTTGCCAACAGTTCATCCATCTTCTTCTCAAATTCTAAGCTTGCCCTCCCTTTCTAAAGCGTTAGCAGACCTAGCCGAGCCAGCCAAGCGATTGGGAGGATTTCGTGTGCCTTTTATTTTTGTTTCGGGGCTTGGTTTTAATTTCCAGAACTGGAAATGGGACTTTTAAACTCCATTGTCATATAGATACGCGATGCTATCTTAAGTTACATCACAACAACCTTGAAATTGAAGAGAATTTTCCTTACAGCTGATTACATAGATTCGAGAATGCTAATATATTCATATCGTGGTTCCCCGGATGATGATAATTGTATGGTCGGTTGGCATCTCATAATGTACAGACCATAGAGGTCAAAGATTGACGATCAAAAAGATCCATTATTCTCTGGCTTTTTTGTTGCTCGACTATCCCATAATACATACAACCAACAAGAGCAAACCGTTGAATGTGACGAAAAAAAAGATATTTTTTTTATAGATAACAAGGGTAAGGAGGAGCGATCAGCGCAACTACATTCTCTATACATTATCTAATGTTGTCACACCCGTTATGGAATATACGATTTAAATTATGACCAATTTGTCTATTCGGAAATGTAGAAACCTATCATAGAGCCCACCGACATGCCAGAAGCCAAAGCAATCAGCAGAATAGGAAAATGAGAAAGGAAAAAGATACTCCCTCGAAGCGCACGGATATGTATGACAAATAAGGCAGCAGTTTCGATTTGAAGCTATATATTGGCAATGCTTGTCGCTTGTTGACGAAGCTCCATCTTTTTTGTTCTTTGCCTTTTGGTGAGGAAAACTTTAGCTCCAACATGAGTTCTCCAAACCCCGCGGATGGCTCGAGATTGCCTCTGGCAACAGTCGTCGTCCCACCTCCCTTGGCATACGCCCCGAAACCAATAGCTCAGCCGCTGTCCGTCAGCCAACCCGGTCCACAGCCATACGTAGGAGTGCCGGCACATAATGTTCCCAGTAATGAAAGCGTGTGGACCACCGGTCTTTGTGATTGTTTCGATGATATGACGAATTGTAAGTTTTCTCCAAAGAAAAATTCCATAGGACTTGATCTTGCTTTTGCCAATCGTGTAATGAGTTATATCACGTCGATGACGTCCTTTGTTAGATATATATAGTAGAATCTCCATATCTCTAACATATCGATCATTCACCTTTTTTGTTTCCAACGAAGGCATGATCACTTGTTTCTGTCCATGCGTCACGTTTGGCTAGATCGCCGAGATCATAGACAGAGGAAACACCTATAAGCGTAAAACCTCCACAAAACCTCATCTTGGCGAAAAACTATGACTGAGGTTCGATTTTCTCCTGCTAACAATTTGACTTTGACTAATGAACTGGCAGCTTGTGCGTGTGCCGGGGCTATATGCTGCCTGATAGCCACTTCTTTTATTGTTCGTTCTGGTATACATGCACGTACCGGACCAAGCTTCACGGACTCCACTCGATCCCCGGCAACCAGTGCGGAGATAGTTGCTTGCACCATTATTGCGGGCCATGTGCTCTTTGTCAAGAGTATCGGGAGCTCAAGAACCGCAGGTTCGATCCCTCGATCGGTAAGTTCATTACCCAATATGTTCTTTGTCCAAGTAATTCATCGTTCCTAACTCAAATCAATGGATTGGTTGTATAATCCCTCTATGATATAATGCGAAAGAACAAAAAAGAATATTGAAACTAGACCGAATTCATCTGATTGGTATTGCTTAGAAGTAAGATTGGATTCATAAGTTACGATGGGATGCGGATGGATAAGTTCTTTGTGTTTCTCTTTGTGATGACAAATAATCAAACTTAACTTATTGGTTAGACTGTTGATTATATGTGGCGGGGTGTCAATGGTTCAAGTCCAATAGTCGGCAGAACTTTTTTAACTTCATCGCTGTTGTACATATTTGAATGGAAAATAGATACATTGCTATTTTTAATTACTAAAAGCAACTAATTCAATAGTTTTTATTATGATAACCTATCATTATCGACAAGTTATCTGAATAATGAGTTTTATTAATTATAGTCATAAAGTAAGGCGGAACACTTGTTTATGAATAAGAATAGTTCGTCTCTTGAATAGCCAAATATTGCTATCTTCCATTATTCCTATCAAATCATTCAACAAACAAAAGAAGACGCAAATGGACCTAGTCCGATGAAGCATGACCATATCCGTCACATTTGTATTCTGGATACCCGTATAGTCATGGACGATTGTTGAAGTGACGTATTCCTAGAATTTAAAGGCCGTGGGGAACAAAAATAAACTGTTGAAGTTACTCTTCTTCTTCTTTTTTTTTTTTTTTTTTATCTAGAATCAATCCATTTAATGTCAAAAAGATCCTATGCAGGAAGGTCGGCTACAAACTTCTTGAAAAAATGAAATAAAATGTCCCATGTACAAAATCTCTTGTGACAAGGTTATATAATATTGTCAATTAAGAAACAAAGCCGTGTGTTTCAGGAAGATTCGAGCGGGTCCATTTTGATTTTTGGTACCAATTGATTCTACTCAGTTGCAATTAGAGATTTAAGTAAACACAAATGCTACGAGATTTTAACAGGATATTAGAAGCTTAAATTACATAACGCCGTACTATTGCCGATTGTTGAATTCGAGACACTTGTTTAAATGGTCGGTCAAAATCTGTCATGTTGTTTATTATATGAATTTCGTATACCAATCTTAATACGCCTAGCATTACCGGGTCATACTTGTGCACGTATATGATATGAATGGGACTTGTTACCCGTTTTCATACTCGACATGATGTGTGATGTGTAGAATGGGTCGCTAACCAGGAACGAAGGACTCAGCAAGTTGGAATCATGGTCCCTCCGTCAGTTCCCGGCGGCATGATTCATTGATGTTGCTCATGATTAGTTTCGGGGCTTCGTTGACTTTCCAAAACTCGAATCGGACTTTTGTACTTCATGGTAAAATAAATACACTATACTATCTCAAGTTTTATTACAGGAAAAGTATAAAAAAAAAATCATAAACCTATTGCATTGATACTAATTCAATTCTAAACATTTTAACTGAATCAATTTAGTCATGAACTTTTTCACATTGTGTCGCGACCTACCCTCGCGGTGCACCACCTAGGGGTTCGGCTAATGGATTATTAAGTCTAAACCTAATTCGGGCCCTCCCAAGTCCTATCAATTCGCGACTTAGGGTTTAAGTTTTTAACATACAAATGTTTTCATGCTGGAGTCGCCACTAATCTATTTTGTTGTGGGTTGATTAGAAACCAAAAAAAACATAGAAAGATATGTTTTATTCCTACGAATAAGAGATTTTTAATTCGGGGACTTGGTTACGCTAAAGCTGGTACCTTTTCTTTTAAAAAAAAATGTTTGAGCAGACAGTCTGGATCCATTTTATCACTTAGTTGCTAACAGTGACCATACGGGTGCGCAATCTATCAATTTAACACCCAATAAAGAAAGTAGTAAATAAATTACTAGCTTAAGAGAACAACGTACCTTTTAGCAACATAAGCATGTGCAATGTTAGCTAGAAAATCATACAGACAATCCTAATATGATTTCTAATTAACAAACAATTCACTCGACATTTTTTTTCTTTATTAAAAGGGAAAAAATCACCAAAAACCCCAAACTTTACCATTTGTGACACATTTACCCCGAACTTTTTTTTGTGTCATGAAAAACCCCAAACTATGCAACTTGTGATACATTTACCCCAATATACTATAACCTAGGGCATTTTAGTCTTTTTCCCTTTTTCTATTTTTTTCTGCTTTTTTTTTCTTTTTTCCGGCAGGGGCTGCCCTCGCCAACGAGGTGTCCGGCGACCTCGCCGGCGAGGGCGAGGGACCCTCGCCCCGCCCAAGCGAGGGTTGCCCTCGCCGGCGTTGGGCGAGCGACCACCACTTCATCGCCGGCGTCGGACGAGGACCCTCGCCACCGCCCGAGCGAGGGCGAGGCGCCTCGCTTGGGCGGGCGGGCGTGCACTGCCGGCGTCGGGCGAGGCTTCCTCGCCCGGCCGGGGCGAGGGTCCCTCGCCCTCGCCGGCGCCGGGCGAGGGCTGCCCGCCGGAGTCGGGCGAGGCGACAGCCGGCGAGGGCTGCCCTGCCCACTGGGAGCGAGGGAAGCCCTCGCCGGCCGCCGGCGGGCAGGCCAGCTCCCCGCCCGGGCGAGGGCGGCCATCGCCTCGCACGGGCGGGGCGAGGGTCCCTCACCCGACGCCGGCGAGGCGAGGGCCGCCTCGCCCGCCCGGGTGAGGCGGGCCTTGGCCTTGCTGGGCGGGGCGAGGGTCCTCGCCCGACTCACCGGCGGGCTTGAGGTCGCCTTCGCCTAACGCCGGCGAGGGCAGCCCTCGCCCTCGCCGGCGAGGTCGCCGGAGACCTCGTCGGCGACCTCAGCCCCCGCCGGAAAAAAGAAAAAAAATAGAAAAGGGGAAAAAGACTAAAATGCCCTAGGTTACAGTATATTGGGGTGAATGTGTCACAAGTTGCATAGTTTGGGGTTTTTCATGACACAAAAAAAAGTTCGGGGTAAATGTGTCACAAATGGTAAAGTTTGGGGTTTTTGGTGGTTTTTTCCCTTATTAAAATGAAAACTAATGACGTGCAAAATATGACATGCGATTAATTAAACCTAGCATGCGAACTATATGTCATGCGACGATATGACCTACTTCTAATGACAGGTAAATGATGTATTTTTTGGTATTTTCACTAAAATTCGGAATAATAAAAAACGCCTAAAATAACATGCAATCTATTCTAGAAAGACACTCTAACTTATCCTAAAATGACTTCTTTTTGGGTATTTTTATGAAAATTCGAAATTCTAAAATGTCCTAAATAATCTATTAGGAATAGTATAACCCTTATTCAAACTAGGAAATAAACTACCCTAAATCCCAATTTAAATTAAGCAATTATCCTTTCTTCTAAATATATTCAGGATTCCCTAACATGCG